GGTCACGAATAAACCAGCCGGAACCAGCATGGCCAATAATTCTAACGCGCGTGGTCGTTTTAAAAATTCCCCGAAATCGAGCACCGTCGAAGTATCGAAAGGCCGGGATTATCGATAACGTACATTCGAGTAGGTACACAAGCACGACCCATGGAAACGCGAAGAAGCTTCGGAGAACGCGATACGGCCGATAGACGTGTCCGGAAATAAAATTTAATGGAGCGCCACGTGTCGCTTAAAGGGAGATAAATCAAACGAGCAACCGTCGACGATAAAGCGTCGTTGAACTCGCGGGCAAGAAACATTTTAGATCGCAAGTTTCTCGGAGAATGTTCCTTCTTTTTCGATTATTCTATTTTTATAACCTACAAACATAACTAAGAAACGATTCAAAAGAATATATATATATATATATAAGGATCAAAGTGAAGAGAAAGTTTCAACTCTGAATATCTAGAAACGCGATTTTTGGTAGATAATTTCGTCCGCAGTTACTGAATCGCAGACACGAGACAGGAGAAGGAGGAAAAATATACAGAAAACCGGAAAGAGGCAAACGATTTATGCTCACGCTAAGAAGGAAAGTGCGTTTACTCTCTCTCTCTCTCTCTTTCTCTCTCTCTAGCGATCGCCGGAGCACTCTCGTTCGGCGCATAGCGAACGTGGAAAGTGGCGCTAATTAACCGAACGTTCCGTTTCCCGGGATTAAAATGTTTAGAAAATTTGTCGAGCTCGAAAGCAATACGCGGCCGCGCGTGCACGCCAAACTTCACAACTTAATTACATATTGCTCCAACGTGGCGAATTGCTGCACATAGCGAAATTTTGCTGACAGAATTTCCAGTTCGAATTAGTCTCTTTGCTTTTCTCATTCTTTTTTTGTCAACATTGAGAACACAAAATTTATGAGAATCATTGAATACAACGAATTTCCTTTGCACGCGTATGCAACTTGTTAAATATATCGATAACATTTATATACAATCATAATGTACATTCTTCTATTTTTGGAAAAACGTGCTTGTATAATTAAAATTTCACGCTGGTGTGTTCATACGAACGCGGCATGAAATTTAACCTCTTGCGCTGGAATGACGTGCCACACACGTCGAGAATTTTTGGTCCCAAAATATTTCCTCAGTTTTAAATATATTTAAGCAAAACAAATACTAAATTTATTACTTCTTGGTAATTTCTTAGTATTAATAATGGTGAGAAGTATTAATACTTTTTAGCATTGTTGTATACGGTTTGGTCACTCGTTATGGTCCGTGAACCAGTTGCCAGCGCAAGGGGTTAAAAAAAATACGATAAGAACAGTGCCATCTATGTCTGAACCACGTCATTTCTTTTCTACAATACGTCCGGACGTTGCGAAAAAAAAGCGCTGATATAAATAAAAAGAGACATCAGGTAAAATGAGAGAAAGAGAGATAGAGTAAGAGAAAAAAAAAAGAAGGGAATAGTCGTAGATATAATTGACTTACCAGACAACGCCGAAGGCACCATATCCGATGGGTCTGTCGGGCTGAACGAGATCCTGGGCTGGCGGCGGTGGCGGGGGCGCAGGAGCGGCAGGGTGATAGTAGGTGGGGGGTGCCTGGGCCGCCGCCGCCGCGAGGACCGCTTGCCCCGGGTGGGCCCCCGCTGTCCCGCCGCCGCCTGTCGCCCCCGCCCCACCCCCCTGCATCAACGACATAGACACGCTCATGGACACCCGCGAGTGCCGGCTGGGCCCAACTACTGCCATCAAAACTCTCCTCTCTCCCTACGGGCCACCCTCCTCAACCCTTTCCCGATTCACCGCCACCGCGCCACCGCCAAGGCCCCTGGCTGCTTCAGGGGGGAAAACCCGGGACACGCCTCTCCTGCTCTGTCGATTCTTCCCTGTTTCGATGTTATCCCGCTCTCACTTTTTTCATTCACCTCGAATCCAATCAAACACACTTTTTTTTTTTTTACTAATGGATGTATCTCGTTATCCTGTCCCAGTAGCGGGACACACACGTGACACTGACACAACTACTCCTCGGGATAATATTTTCTTCGTTAGGGTTTTTCTTCGTTTACGTCTGACCATGCGACGACGACGACGAGAGCATTCGTTTAAACGGGGACGACGACGTTTTTCGTCGTACGATTAAACGGTATATTAGACTTGCAAAATCACTGTTATCCGAACGATCGGCTAATGGACGCGTCGTGTCGCGACAAGAGTGTCGTTGTCGGTTCGATTAGAAGTCAATAGGTCTCGATATTGCTCTCGGTTCCATGATATATCGATGAGCGCGCAATCTTTCCTCTTGAATCGAGTGATTCGATTGTCGATCACGGGCGATATGTAGTTTAGTTTCGAACGTAGCGCGCTCTCAAGGTACGGCGGGAAGGGTTCAAGCTTGAGAATCACGAGGGGAGAAGGGGGCTCGTGACACACGCTCGACGCAGCGGCTATGGTCGCGTCCTTTTATCGCGGGCCAAGGCAAAAACGACAATATACAAAGGATAACCTTCGCAACAGAGACAAAGTCGATGTCAAGTTTTCCTCGACACTATGTTGAAGGGTAATAAACGGAGCGTTACGTGTTCGGAAGTGTCGAAAAAGAAAGAAAGAAGACAGCACTTTCTGTTGGTTCTCCCCCCGAATACGAGTTGAAGCTCGATGCGCTTTTCCAGACGAGCGAAGAACTGCCGAATGCGTAAATGTCACAAATCGTCGAAACTAAACGCGTGCCACGTTTCTTCCTTGGGTTTACTCTCGCTACATTCACGGTAACGACGTTGTTAGGTTATGTTTGACACACGCACGCAAGCCTGTTCTCCCTCTTCTTCGTTAGCTACGCTCAGCTGGCCTCATAACGTTACGATCGGAGGGACGGAGGTAGAAAGGGGGCGGTGCTTGTTCGTAAGAAACACGGTAGCGCGAAACAGAGAAAGGAATGAGAGAACACTGAAAGGCTCGGTCGAGTCCTCGATGGCCACAGCGATTCCGGCTATGGGGGGGGGGGCGGCCGAATTTGTTCGGCGGTTTTTCCGAATTGGCGAACGATTCCTCACTGTCCGGATTCTACGGCCGAGCCAGAAACACTGTCACTTCTCGTACAAATCAGGCACGCACACACAACACGGAAACACGCGCCCGCGCACACACAAGCGAGAGAGGGAGAGAAAGAGAAAAAGGAGTCTCTCGCGTAGCCGCGATAGAGGGATCGTCGCGGTACGAACTAAACGCACGTCTTCTCGCAGCTAAGGCTTGCTGGCCACTGGTCGAGGGGGAAGGTAAGCTACGCCGTCGACAGCGCCAGCTGCTCACAAAGAAGGTCACGTGACCTGCGCACTAACCAACGCGCAGCCGTCCCAGCGATCTTTGCAAATACAATTGTAAAATCATGTCAAACTCTATATACCTACCTTGCTATATTATTCCTTTGTTTTATTAAAAAACGATATAGACACATTTATTATATAAACTGTCGAATGATTATTTGGATTTCATTTCAAATGTAATTAAGTTAAGGGACTTAAAAACGAACGTTTCTTTAAATTTTAATATCGAGATACGGACCGCGATTGTTGGAGGATAGTAAAATTAAAAGTCATGGTATAATTCAGTGTGTATATTTACATTACCTTTGTGAATTATTATCGAATGTATTAAATTAACAAATTCACCGTTATTCTCTCAATTGTGTCGCAACATGTACACACTTTTATAAAAAATGTTACAGAAGTACGAGTAACTCGAGCAAGCGATATTATACAAGCGTTTTCCCGTTATTGATACGATTGTAAGGAAAACTCGTTTGTATCGTATTTATACATAGCACGTCTGTTCGCGTACTGTTTAAAATAGAAAAATGATCCGTGCTGACACGAACAGATATCGAAAAAGAAATCATCGGTTTTATCTTACAACCGTAACAATTTTATTTCATATTTTACTCCACGTTTGTATCGCTATCCATATTTATCATATGTACGCGTATCGCTCCAACGATAAAGAAGAGTAATCTTTATTACTTTGTTTAATTGTACATGTATTTGCAAGGCATGTATTCACAATTAACATCACAAGAGAATAACAAACTGTTTTGTTCGATTCCGATGGAAAGTAACAAAGTTATTATGTTTCCCGCGTTTCTTGTCTCTATACATAATCAAAATAATTAATCACGTTACAAACGTTAATATATAACTATTTGGTACTCGATTAAATCTAATTCATTTGCAAACATTTCGATCTATCTCTTGAAAAAACTGTTTGCTCTTTATTGCTCTTTCACAGAGTGGGTACAATCAGTGAATACAAGCCTGAAAACTTACATATGATTGCATAGGAAAATATGAAAGGATAACATCTCGAATTATCTTCTTCGTACTGTTGTAAATAGGCTTCTATCTTTGGTCTGACCGAATTTCCATCGACAATATCACGAGTCGTTCGCTGAAATTACGCGTGAATTACGAGAAAAATAAATTTCGCTGTAATACTCCTCGCTACATCACGAATAACACAGTTCTGATGCTCCCTCGTTTTCCACTTTCGCACGTTCGTTCGGGCTCGTCGAAGACCACGGACAAACTACATTTACGAGAAATTCAACTCGAAACGCTCAAATAGGAGAACAAACATCACAATTTCGTTCGATCTGAATAAACCGATCTGAAACATTCGAACGATTATGGATTTTCAACCCATGAGCGCCCGTGTACACAATATATACACGTATATATACTTCTAAACAGATCATATAAATCTTTTTATACATCGTGTCAAAAATTTGTACAAAATCTTGCGAAAATAGCTTTCCTCAAAATGGAACCTCGACTTTCAAATAACTTGAAAATTTTAGAAATTTACGGATCCCT